CTCCCCTCCCATGGGTCAGAGGCGGGACCCATGCGCCCCCTCATCGCCCCACAGTTGATGATGATGCTGCTGATGATGATGATGATGATGACGATGGTAATGATGGTGGTGGTATGATGACGATGATGATGATGACAACGATGGCGATGATAGTGCTGATGATGGTGCCGATGATGATGCTGATGATGATGATGATGGTGATGGTGATGGTGATGATGATGATGATGATGATGATGATGATGATGATGATGATGGCGATGATGATGCTGACGGTGATGGTGATGATACTGCTGCTGCTGCTGCTGCTGATGATGATGATGATGATGATGATGATGATGATGGTGACCATGCGGGTGCGGGTGAGGATGGCGATGATGCAGCTGCAGGCGTTTGTGAGAAAGATGCTGCTGGTGATGAGGAGGATGAGGATGAGAGAGGAGGAATTTGACTGCCACAGATCGCGCCTGCCGTTGCCCTCATCCCGCGGGGCCGCCACAAGAGGTCAACGTGGAGACGAAGCGGGGAGAAAGCAATTGCGAGTGGGTGTGCAAGACCAGGGGGCGAAGGAATGGAGAGACAGAGTGTGCGCACTGTGTGCGAATAGATACGGGGTTGAGCATTGGAGCCCCACTGCCTGCTCCACGGGGGTCTTTGGCAGCGATCGGGGTGGGTCGGTCCCGATGCCCGCCGGGCCCGCACCCGCACCTTTATACTGCGGGAGGCCCCCTTCAGGCTGCCATTCTGAAGGGGGGCCGCAGCGTGATACGGCACGTACTGCAATGCACCCGCGGGCAAACACCACGGCCCCAGACAACGCCGCTGCGTGGTCAGCTAAATGGTGTCGTGGGGCATGCTGCCCCAAGGCCGTCAGTTTCTGGAACGTGCCATGGGATGCCGTCCGTGCGTCGCACTATTTACGCCGTGCGCGGCTCGAACACGTCTTATGACGAATCTGGGCGGGTGGGCCCGAGAAAGGTTCGCCTAGGCTCGAGCCACCGGCTAGAGATAGCGTCGACAATTATGATGACGACGTTGCGGGTGCCGAAATTGCAGCAATCCCCTGGGGGAGGGGGGGGCAACCTTGCTACACCCCCCTTCCGCCTCGCCGTCGTGGAAGCGCGCTGGCCGAATGACTTATGCGCCCATCATTTGGCCGCCAGAGAAGCCGTCCAATTCATACCGCACTAATATGTTTCCGTCTTTAGAGCCCAACGTGCGGAATCCACCCCGCGACACTCAGAAGATGGGTATGCGTTCATAAGGTGCCATGCCGCATTTTTTTGTGCCAGCCATTCTTGCAATAATCCCCTGGGGACCGACCTTGTGACACTCCCCACTCACCCAAACGATCTCCGCATCCTCCGCGAGATCCCCGCCCCGCGACGACCAGACTGACACGCTCAGACCCCCGTAAGCCTGATGTCAGTCTGCAAGGATGATGGGGAGCGGGAGTTGACGGAAAGAAGGGGAGGAGGATGAGGAGGAGGAGGAGGAGGACCATGAGTGAGGAGGGGGATCAGGACGAGGAGGAGGAGGAGAAGGAGGAGGAGGAGGAGGAGGAAGAGGACGCGGAGGATGAGGAGGATGATGGTGGTGATGGGGATGGTGATGAGGAAGGGGCGGAGGAAGAGGAGGAGGATGAACAGGCGGAAGCGGAAGAGGAAGAGGAGAAGGAGGAGGAGGAGGAGGAAGTTGCGGATGAGGGTGATGATGAGGAGGAGGATGAGAAGGAGGGGAGAGGCACCAGGAGGATGAGAAGCAGGAGTGGGGAGGAGGAGGAGGAGGAGGAGAAGGAGGAGGAGGAGGAGAAAGAGGAGGAGGACGAGGAGGAGGACGAGGAGGAGGAGGCGACGGAGAAATTGGAGGAACAGGAGGGGATGATGTTATTGTTGATGATGCTGCTGATGACGATGCTGCTGCTGATGATGGTGATGCTGCTGCTGCTGATGATGGTGATGCTGCTGATGATGGCGACTATGATGATGCTGATGGTGATGCTGATGACGCTGCTGATGCTGATGCCGAGGTGCTGATCATGATGATGCTGATGGTACTGCTGCTGATGCTGGTACTGCTGATGCGTATGCTGCTGCGGCTGATGACGATGATGCGGATGTCGATGCTGATGCAACCGATGATGATGCTGCTGCTGATGAGGATGATGATGCTGCTGATAATGAAGCTGCTGCTGCTTGAGATGGTGATGCTGCTGCTGAGTAAGATGATGTTGGCGATGGTACTACTGAGGGTACTTGTGCTTATACTGATGGTTATGCTGGTGATGCGACTGGTGAGGTTGATGAGGCTGCTGCTGATGGAGACGATGCTGCCGATGATAAGGAGGATGATGAGGAGGAGGAAGAGGCGGATGAGGATACGAAACACGAGGCGGGGGTGCGGGGGCGGAGGGAGATGATGCGGATGAGAAGGCGGATGAGGAGGCAAAACGATGATGAGGAGGATGCGAAGGGGGATGAGGATAAGCGGTACGAACGGGGATGCGGATGAGGATGAGGATGAGGAGGCGGATGAGGAGGAGGACATGGAGACGGATGATGATCAGGATGAGGATGCGGATGAGGATGGGGATGGGGATGCGGATGAGGAGGAGGGGGGGGGGGGACGAGGAGGCGGAGGAGGAGGAGGAAGTGCATGGGGCGGCGGGGGAATGCGAGGATGATGATGCTGATGAGTATGCTGCTGCTGATGCTGATGCTGAAGATGCGGATGATGATGCTGCTGATGCTGCTGCTGCTGATGATGATGATGACGACCAGGCTGGTGCTGATGCTGCTGGTGGTGCTACTGCTGATACTGATGATGAAGAGGAGGACGAGGAGGAGGAGGATGGTGAGGCGGCTGCGGAGGAGGAGGAGGCGGAGGAGGAGGAGGAGGAGGAGGAGGAGGAGGAGGAGGAGGGATGTGAGGAGGAGGGGGGGGGGGGGGGAAGGGAGGAAGAGGAGGAGGATGCGGAGGGCGGGGGGGAGAAGGAGGAGGAGGAGCAGGAGGAGAAGGCGGAGGAGGAAGAGGAGGATGAGGAGGAGGGAGGAGGAGGAGGAGGAGGAGAATGATGAGGCGGAGGAGGAGGACGCGGAGGAGGCGGAAAACGAGGAGGAGGAGGAGGAGGAGGAGGAGGAGGAGGAGGAGGAGGAGGAGGAGGAGAACGAGGAGGAGGAGGCGGAGAAAGAGGAGGAGGACGTTGAGCACCTAGGCTCCCCCGGCATGCTTAAAGCACGCCCAGCGTGTCAGATAACAAGGTGGGTCCCTTCGCTTTCGGATGGAGGCCCTTGACTATCTTATTCCACGCATCTGGATTGTAGTTCCCTTTTGTCTTGTCGCGGCATTGCTTGGCAAGGTAGGCTAAACGAGCTCCACTGGTGTATCTCGTGCGCTTCAGACAAACAACGACGAACGACCCGTTACTCGCATCTAAGAGGATACACCGATGGTATAAGTACCTGAATACATGTACATTGACTTTCAGGGACTCAGAACAAGCTCCAGGGGGAGGGCTGCGCCGTGTCATGGCGCGATGTCCTCAAACACCCCTGACACATCCAAAAGCGCTGGTCGCCTGCTGGAGGCCCCATCCACTCCCAACGGTGCGAAACAGAGGTAGCTCGAGAGGCAGGCGGCAGCGGGTGTGACAACACTGCCTTTGAAAGGTCAGTGCGCGGCCAGAAGGGTAGGAGCGAAGCGGCAAGCTTACACACATACTGCGCTACTTTGGCATGCGCATCTGCTGCGGCTGCGGGCGCGAGGTCTTCGGGCGGCTTCGGGTGGGTCTCGCCCCCCAGCTTCGCAGCTCGGTCCGCAACATCGTTCCCGAAGCGACGGGAACGTTCGTCATCGTCGATGTCTTGTCGGGGGAGAGGTGAGCCTTGACCTTCTCGCACCCAATGATCCGTTTTCCCCCCAACGTACCACTCTGTAACGCAAGACCCGCATACGGACGCTCGGGTGGGAGTTGGTCTATCTCTGACAGGGCGTGCGTGCTGACTACATTCTGGCCGTCAAGGTAAACGTTTGATGGTCCGCTAGCCAGGGCGTTGGCAATAGCGCGAGCTCTGAACTCCCCAGCCTGCGGGGTCTGAGGGCAACTGTCCCGCGCATGGCCCCAGGCTAGGGCTAAAGTGTGGCTGCGGGGCCCTAGCATCGGGATCCACCATCCCGCGCGTTAGAGCCTTGCACCGTTCTCCGCGAGCACGGGCCGCCCAGAAAAAAAAACGTGGCCCCACACTTGGTTAGGGCCATCTGATGGCACCTGCAAGCCCTTGGTTTCGAACACTTCTGGGAAGTATCTGAATTGTGCCCCATCGTTCGAGTCATTACTGTTGGCAATGGGGGGGGGACGCACGTTCGGGATGGCTAAACAGGCCCGAGATAGTGGCGAGCCGCTGCCTGTCGCCCTCAGCACCGTGCGTCCGAATGCTAGTGTTGACGAAGCCCGAGGGAACAGTGGCCAGCCTTTCCTCCTCCACTGAGGGGCAGCACCAGAGTCTGTGGAAAACGGTGCCCCCTGTTGATGGCAGATAGGGCACTCGTCCGCAACGTCGTATCCAGCGGCGCGGGCGCGCGGAAGAGGTCAAACTCCTTGGCAGGCTAGACATCTGATGGTTCCTGTCTGGCGACCAGAAAACTTCTTGGGCCTCGAAGCACGGGTGACAACATCGAAACAAAGACGCGACACGTTTGTAGTGCAATGCTTCCCCGCAGCCTCTCGCTCGAGCTTCCTCCGCGCCCCCTCCTTCAAGAGGATCTTGAGGAGGGGGTGGGGGGTGGGGAGTGCTCCACGTTGAGGTCGCTACCCATAACACAAGGAGATGGCATACTCCATCCTACCCTGGCCAAGGACAGTTTCATGGCCCCTGAGGGCCCTCCGACCGCGCGCCAAGCCCAGCTCCGCCCAAAGGTCCCAATCCAAAGGTCACGGAAACCAGCCTGGGGGGGGGGAACATCCGTGGCACGAGTGTGCCTGGCGCGCACTTCCTTGGCCCATC